ACGTTCTGCATGGAGCACTGGGTGTTATGCACAAACAATGAATCATGGAACACTACATCTAAAACTAATGATGTAATGTATGGGGATTAACATAACAATAAAAAAATTTTTAAAAAATCAGAGCTCTTAGGAAGCTTACCTTCTGGCAAGGGAGTCAGACAAAGAACACTGACAGATAAATGGTGTAGTAGTGAGTGTTGAGGGAGGAAAAGAGAGGGCAGGGGGAGGGCAGGTGGCAGGGCAAGCAGGAGTGTTGATCTCTCTGGCACACGTGCGGCCCTAACTCCGGCTGTGGCGGAGTCCCTGCCCTAACAGCTTCTTAGGCCGACACCTGTTACGTGATGGGGTAGAGCTGGCAGCCAGGAAGGTTGCCATCAGATTCATGCCACAGATGCCCTGGCATCACTGTCCTTTTCACAGACAAATGTTGACTGTGTGTGGGGAGGGGCCTGCTTCTCCAAGTTTTCTGCTTACTTAGACCCTTTCCTGGCCCCAGCCCTCCGCCCCGGCTGCTCTCAACTGCAGTTCTACCAGCATAGAGCACGTGCTCAGCGAGCCCACTGTGGTGAGCGGTGCAAACGGGCTGGCTCTCTTCCAAAGCAGAGTCCCTTTCTTTTTCTGGTACGGGGTGGAGTGGGAGGGGTCAGACAGGGCCATCGTCTGAATCTGCTGTGTCTCTGTGCCCCTGCCTGAACATTTAGATTCTCAGGGTCAAGAAGAAATCATCCAGGATATCGCCAGGCAGCTCGCCGTAATAGGGGACAATATGGATCGCAGCATCCACCCAGGACTGGTGAATAACCTGGCAATGCAGTTTATGAATGTGAACCTGTCGGAAGAAGTAAGTGAGAAAATCCACCACTGCCTTTTCTGGGTTAGTCAGGAAGTGTGAGAACTTTTTTCAGTGGTCAGTTTTTTTTAAATTTTAATTCCAGTGTAGTTAATGCAGTCTTATATTAGTTTCAGGTGTATAATACAGTGATTCAGTAGTTCTGTATATTACTCAGTGCACATCAAGAGAAGTTTGCTCTTAATCTCCTTCACCTATTTCACCCATCCCCCACCCACTTCCCCTCTGGTAACCAGCAGTTTGTTCTCTATAGTAAGTCTGTTTTTCAGTTTGTCTCTTTTTTCCCTTTGTTCGTTTGTTTTGCTTCTTAAATTCCACATATGAGCGAAATCATAGTTATTTGTCTTTCTTTGACTGACTTATTTCACTTAGCATAATACTCTACTCTGTAGCTCCATCCATGTTGTTGCAGATGACAAGAATTTATTCTTTTTTAAAATGGCTGAATAATATTCCATTGTGTATATACCACATCTTCTTTATCCATTCATCAATTGATGGACACTTGGGCTGCTTCCATAGTTTGGCTATTGTAGATAATGCTGCTATAAACATAGGGTGCATGTATCCCTTCGATTAGTGTTTTTGTATTCTTTGGGTAAATATGCAGTAGTGCAATTACTGGGTCACAGGGTAGTTCTATTTTTAATTTTTTTGAGGAACCTCCATACTGTTTTCCAGAGTGGCTGCACCAGTTTGCATTCCCACCAACAGTGCACAAGAGTTCCTTTTTCTCTACATCCTCACCAACATCTGTTGTTTCCTGTGTTGCTGATTTTAGTCATTCTGACAGGTGTGAGGTGATATCTCATTGTAGTTTTGATTTGCATTTCCCTGATGATGAGTGATGATGAGCATCTTTTCACGTGTCTGTTGGCCATCTGTATGTCGTCTTTGGAGAAATGTCTGTTCATGTCTTCTGCCCATTTTTTAATTGGATTGTTTGTTTTTTAGGGTTGTAGAAGTTCCTTATATATTTTGCATACTAATCTTTTATCAGTTATCTCATATGCAAATATCTTTTCCCATTCAGTAGGTTGTCTTTTAGTTTTCTGCTGTTAATTAAACCATTGAGGTCTGTCCTCTGTCTCCTCTCAGACCAGTGTCCAGTGAGGTGACTCAATTCATGACTGCCTACAAAAGAATTGGAAATAGAATCATAGCATGGTTAATTGTATTTCAGAATTAACTTGACATTTAGGAAACTTGGACCTTAAGTCAGAGTCAAGATTTTGGATACAAAAGCCTCTAAACAGATTAATAAAATGTATATGACTCTTCCAGAAATAACTTATTCTTTCTTCAGTTGAATAAAAATGTAAGTAGAGAATGTCAAGTCACAAGAAAAGTGACATTTTATTTAGCCTGCTACTCTTAACTTCATGGTTATAATCAATATACAGATACTAACAGAATTTCTAACCCTTGCCGGGTACCATAAAGTACTCTATCCTTTCTGAAGAAATGTAGTGGGAGGGAGAACTGCCCCAAGGCTGTCAAATCTATGTCTACAGGAGTTCAGAGGAGAGAAGGGTTCCATCCTTTGACCACCACCTGAAAATGCAAATGCTCCTCTCTACATAGAAATGTATTCATCCCCCAAGGTTCAGTCAGCCAGGTCAGCCTCCTGCCTGTAAGCAGGTCTCTCTACTCCAGGGATCTCTCCCTGTCTGGAGTTCTCCAGCAGCTGTCATAGACATGGTCATGTTCTGCCTCAGGACCTCTCCCACAATGTTAACTGAACTTTGCATCTGAGTTGATGAACTTGAAGGTCCTTTCAGGTCTAATGGTCTGTGGGGTGCCTCTCCCATGTAGGCTAGGCAAGAAGGGCACATTTAGGCCCCCTTTCATCTCTTTCCCTGGAGCTAGGTCTGCACCAGTAAGATAGATCTAAGACATCTTGGGTAGTTAACTAATTCTTGACTTTAAGTGTCTTAGAGGCAGGGAAGGACTCGGGCTTCTTCAGTTCCATTGTCTAAAGTGAACACACAGGCTCAAGAAAAATGTATTTGGTGAATGAGTGTCCAGCTGCAGGGAGTGAGCTCAGTCTCCCCTTTCCATTGTCTCTCAAAATTAAATAATTTCTCGGGCGCCTGGGTGGCTCAGTCGGTTAAGCGACTGCCTTCGGCTCAGGTCATGATCCTGGAGTCC